CCCCAAAACCCCAAAACCCCAAAACCCCAAAACCCCAAAACCCCTTTTAATAGATTTGTTATTGAAATTATAAAATGAATTTTAAGCTGAATCTCAACTTGAATACTTCAGCAAATCAGGCTAAAAAGCCTGCACCATTACCTGGTTCGACTGGTGAAAACAAGGCTCCTAAGAAACTAGCAATCTTTTCTGCAGCTATGGAAGAGGAAGAAAGTGTAGATGCTCCAATGTCTCATAGAGACCTAGTAAATATGCAGATATTAGATGCTTCAAAGAGACAAGAGCGCCAAGCCTTGAAGCTACAAGCCCAGGCCATTGCTGATGGAGTTGATTACGACATTGACACTCATCTTAAGGATGAAAAAGATGAGCCAGATGAGGTACAACTACCTCAAAAGCAAACAATGCAAGGCAAAAGTAAATACCTCGGCCAATTATTAAAAGCAAGAGAACGGCGTGAAAGAGACAAATTGTAAGCTTCTAGCTCAAATAATATAGCATGGCAACTGAAAAAGTAGAGAAGAAGGAAAGAGTTCGAGAGGAGGGAGAATTCGGAGACAAAGAAAAGTTTATCACAGAATCATATCAGCGTCAGCTAGAACTCAACAAGAAAGAGCAAATGATTCATGAAATTGAAGATAAAATGAATTCATCAAAGACTTTGTCTAATACAGGAATGACAGGTTTCTTTAATAAAATGTTGGGTGAAAAGTCTAAAGATTCCGCTGATATCAGAGAAAAAGCTAAAGAATTGGTTTCTCAAAGAACCAATATCAATGCAGAGCTGGATGAGAAAGAATCTGCGAGAGAGAAAGAGAGAAAAATAAAGGAAGACAAATAAAAAGGTTGCTATACGCAAGGAAATGGAGGAAATACTCAAAGCTAAGTTAGGCAAAAAGGAGCCAACCCAAGGAGTTAAAAGAAAACAAAAAGAAGTTGAAAAGCTTAAAGGTAGGAAGTTGGATTTAGTTCAAAATAATAACTTCTTTCATAGAAGAGACACCAGAGGAGAAAAAAGAGAGGATCAAAAAAGAAAGAGAAGAGAAAATAAGGGCTGCAAAAGAGAGATTGAAGAAAAGAAAAGAGAACAAATAGAATGAGAAACAATTCAATAAATACCAAGAAATTTGGGGTTTTGGGGTTTTGGGGTTTTGGGGTTTTGGGG